TTTTTAAAACCTTAGTCAAATTTTATGTCATATGTCCATAGCAAAAGTTCTTTATTAATGCTTACACATGTCTGGAACAATTTCTATATGTAATCATTGCAAAAAACATTTTACTGTCCTGTTCCTTTAATTAATATTTTTATCTGAGTTTCTGACATTCATCCTTGTAGAATGGCTTAGTTTTAATTCCAGGAAGATATATATTATCTGTGTATTATTAGAAATACAGGAAATATGACATATAGTATGTTCGTTTTCAATACTTTAATGATCTCTGATATATATATATATATATACATAATAAGACTTATTAGGTTGCAAAATGAGCACATGCACAGTGATACTTTAAAAACAGTATTTATATGTGAACAGATATGTGTGCTACATGAATGTAAACTAAATGTCATGATCATGAAAAAAACTACACTAAAGTGATCCTTAGGATTAATTGTAAGCCATGACATATTTGTGAATCTTTTCATATTTGATTAGTTCTTTTCTGATGGTAATAAAGCCATGTAAACAAAATGCAAAATGTTGACTGTAGTGTAATGGTTGAAATGTTTACATACATAAAAGGGTCAGAGTGAATTTATGTTCTCATGATGGCTGTTGGCTGCTAATATTGAATCCATATTCTTAAAGTGATCTATGGACCCATAACTGAATGCCACAGAGACAGAACCATAGTTGCTACATTCTTGTTTATTGATCCTCCTATCTTGAGTGTATTAAATGCTCACCTGAGACTGTTGTTCTAAGGCTTGTCTGCTTTTCTCCAGGGTTAGATGTGTGAGCCTCATGAGCTTACTCTTATCTTAAAAAATACTGTTTTGTCTGTGTTTGTTAGAAATACACACAGACTCACACACACACAAAAACCCATACACATGCACACACACAGAGACTAACACACATACACACAGAGACTGACACACACATACACAGAGACTTAGAAACATACACACAAAGAGAGAGACTGACACACACACACACAGACCAACACACACACACACACACACACACACACATGCAAAGAGACTGACAGTCACACACACTGAGACTGAATATACACATACATGCACACAAAGAGACTGAGACACACACACATAAATACACACACAGACTGACACACACACGCGTACACATACATATGCACACACAGAGAGACTGACACACATACACAGAGACTTACACACACATACATACACACAAAGAGAGAATGACACACACACATAAACACATACACAAAGAAACTCACACACACACTCAGACTGACACACACACACATACACAGAGACTTAGACACACATACATACACACAAAGAGAGAGACTGAGACAGACACACACACAGACCAACACACACACACATACACAAAGAGACTGACACATACACACATACACAGAGACTGACATACATACATACATACATACATACACATAAATAGAGAGAGACTGAGACATACACATACACACAGACCAACACACACAAAGAGACTGACACACACACACTCACATTCACAGAGACTTACACATACATACATACACACAAAGAGGGAGAGAGAGACGGAGACACACACACATGCACACACAGACTGATACACACACATTCACATTGACTCACACACATGTACACAGAGACTTACACACATACACACACAGAGATAGAGACAGGGAGAGAATGGGTACCATGACACATGTGTAGTGGGTACAGGACAGTTTCAGAATACAGTTCTCTCCTTTACCCTGGTTACACAGGGCAGAGCTGAGGTCATAAGGCTCGTCCAGCAAGTGATTCTACTTGATGGACCATCTCATCAGACTCATTTTTTGTTTTTTGTGTATGCATAAAAAGACAGAATCAATGTGAGATAGTGATTTAAAATTGCATCTTTTCATTAAAAGTGCAGTACTATATTGTTTGCTGTTTTTATTGAATGTGATCACAGATTATCAAACTACTTGAAAAAACCAGATCCCATAACAGTTTCTGAGGAAGAAGTCCTGTGTGTGGTTTCACAGCATCTTCCTGCTGCCCTTTGTTAGTCACATTTGTGAGAGAGAAATCCTCCTCAATGCCTTTTCTTTGGTTGTTGTTGTTTTTAATTTTCATCTTTTAGAGGAGTATTTTATTTCCCCTACTTTGTGTTTATATCTGTATAAGGAAGTAAGGTTGAATGAATGTGTCTTGCAGTTGCTCAGGGTGATTATCTACTTTAGTTTTAGGTGGTATGGTCTTCTCTTACAAGCTGAGGCCATGGGAAAGCAAACAGCAGTGCTCTTCTTCTAAGTACTTCCATTTAAAGAGACATTTTTGAGTGCCTCCCTTTTTTATAATTATGGTGTGCCAGTTAGTTTCTGTCAGCAATATAAACTAGAGATGCCTAAGAGGAAGCAACCTCAACTGAGGAATTGTTTTAAATCAGATCAGCAGGGCTCTAGGGCATTGCATTGATTGCTCATTGAGGCAGGTAACCCAGCCCTCTGTGGTCACTGTTATGTCTGGGCAGGTGATTGCTAATTGAGGTAGGTAGCCCAGCCCTCTGTGGTCACTGTTATGTCTGCGCAGGTGATTGCTAATTGAGGTAGGTAGCCCAGCCCTCTGTGGTCACTGTTATGTCTGGGCAGATGGGCATGGGCTATAGAAGACAGTAGCTGCTGGGGAGCCTAGGAGCAGCCAGTAAGTAGCATCCCTCTGCTGCCTGCCTCCAGGTGCCTACCTCAGCCTCCCTTGACAATAGACTGTAGTCTATAAGACAGATAAATTTTTCTCTTAACCCAACTTGCCTTTGGTCAATATTTATCATGGCAACAGGAAGCAAACTAGACCACATGGTTATATATCAACAAATTTTATCTACAGAACTGCAGTATTATATAAAAAAACCAATTCAGTGCATGATGATAGCAATGAATAAACTTGGCCTTTCCTAAGGAGGCATATTCTGGTTTGTGTGTCATGGAGACATGTGTTGCTTGTGGCATGGCTGTGTCAGGATTCCACCTATAAAGTGTTCTAGAGAACTGATGTGGTCAGGTGGCATTATATTCTGTTTATGGATCCAAAGTACTTCGTTTGGAATCTTGCTTCCTACATTTAGCTCAGGTTTGCTAACACAATTGTTTGAGTTGGCACAGATCTCTCGTTACAGTATCTGAGAGATGGATATTCTGTGTTTTGCTTATCCAACTGTTCTTACTGCTCATAACGTTGACTTCTCATCTGGGCAATAGAGGTAAGCATTTCAAGTTTCTTAAGAAGTCATCAGGGTTTGCACTTATAATCTGAGCATTAGAAGCAATGAAAGCCTTACTCTTTCTGGAACATAATTTTGAGATGTTTAAAGTTTAATGAAAGGTAATTGTTTCAGATTTTTAAGTCTATCATTGTATCAAGTTGGATTTTTGTAAATTTGTGTATTTTTGTAAAGTTGTGTATTTGGGTCACACTGTATCAAGATGGATTTTTGTAAAGTTGTATATTTGGACCAAGACCTCTATATAGATGCCTTAAAGAATCAGTATTTACTAGTGTGCTCTAGCTTTTCGAAAACCAGGGGTTAAAGAGAAGGCCGTATGGCAATCATTTCTATTAGCTTTGGTAAAATCGCAATTGCATTCTGTGGGTTCTGTTAGCTCTAATTCTTAATAAAGATTCATTTGATAAAGGCTTAAAGCTTTATCCTTGTAGGATTTCCGACTGGTATCTGTTCCTTTATCAAGTGCTTTATAGCTTAATGGTTTCCTTCTTTTTACGGGTAAGAATCATAGAACCAAGTTGGTTTTAGCATGGCTGTTCCTTTAAATCTCTACTGAAGCTTTATTTCATTTCATTTGTTCGTTCACATTCTTTTCCCATTGTTGTAATTCTTTATTTTCATACTTTTCCTGGAACTCGGCAATTCACAAACAAATCATTACATTTAATATCAGCCTGTTTCTTTTTAAAACAAGTATTTAAAATAAAAGTTGGAAATAATCCATGTCATAAGTTCAAGTTAGTGAATTTCATGTTCAACTCTGAACACAGCTACCCAGAGATCTGGATGCTTTTGGAAATGGAAACAGAGCTGGAGCTCTTCTCCAGGTACCACTAAGTATATTTCAATATTTTTACTGAAGCTGAGGATGCACAGTAAGCATGGAAAGTTAAAAATGCAAAGGGGTCAGTGTGACGAACCCATCTCCCATCCAACTTTGATATTCTGAAGTGATAACTGTGAGAGTTACATAGTTCTGGTTTAGGGATTTTATATTATAGTTTATACTATCTACAGTTGTGAAAGTACCTCCAAGATTATTCTCCTCTAGAATATTTTGGGCCTTACTTAAGTTGGAATATGCTTTTCAAATTCATTGGGTAATTCATTTTTTGCATTGTAATTTGATTCCAGAAAAAAATGAGATGGGTATTCTGTGATTTAGTATAAAAGTGACAATTATTTATATGAAGAGACCTTTGTTTTGTGTTTAAAAGTTTTATTAATGTGCTCATTAGTGTTTGTACACTTGAACACAGATCTGACATATGTGAGAAGAGGGATTCTCAATTGAGAAATGTCTACATAAGAGTAGCCTGTAGGGTCTTTTCTTGATTATTAATTAATATTAATAAATATGTATTAACAATAATGTAGAAGTACCCAGCTCACTGACGGTGGTGCCATAAGAAAGCAGGCAGAGCAAGCTATGGTGAGCAAGCCAGTAAGCAGTACCCCTCCATGGCCTCTGCTTCAGTCCTTGCTTCCAGATTCCTGCCCTGCTTGAGTTCCTACCTTACCTTTCTTCAGTCACTGATTGTGCTCTGAGAATTGTAAAACAAAATAAACCTTTTACTGCCTAAGTTGATTTTGGACATGGTATTTTTTCACATCAGTAGAAACCCTAACTAAGACAACCAGTATAGCATATTTTTATTGAGATGAATTGTTTCTCTTAAAAATGTATCTTACTTTGGTAGAAGTAGACTGAGTCATCAAATTTACTTGTGTCTCCCCAGGATCCTGGATATTGGGTGAAGATTCATCACTTAGAATACACAGATGGAGGAATCCTGGATCCAGATGATGTCTTAGCAGATGTTGTTGAAGACAAAGACAAGGTAGATGATTCTGAAAATGTTCTTCATTTTCCTTCACCAGGCAGCATAATTTCAAGCCATTGGTGCTCTTCACAAACTCATGTGTCAGTTATTAGTAAAAGATACCATCTGTTCAGGTTTCACCTGGACAGCTCATAAATCAAAGTTCTTCATCAGATGTTTTCCTGAAGTTTGTAAAAGTTTGAGAACTTGTTGTGGTGGCCTAATTAGCAGATTCTTCATTCTCCAGAGTTCCCGATACATCTCAATAAATTAGTGTCAGCCACAGAGACTTCTGGAAATGCTACTGCTACTGAATCTGGAGCTTATTCCAGTCAGTTGCTAAATATTGATCCTAATGCCTGAGGTTGGAAAGTGTTTTGTGTTTACACTGGAGCATATAGGGGGGTGTGGATGACTCCTGAAGAGCTATGGTATAGATTTTTCTCAAAGTTAGATGGCACACTATATTGTGTGACTGTCTTTCTTTCTTTGTTAACTGCTACCCCCAATCTAAAGGGAAAATAGAGTAGTTCATTGAGTATGTAAGTAACTTTAAAAATGTTATTACTTATTTGTGAATAATTTATCACAAATGTAGCAACTTAATGGCATTTTGCTTCATGCTACTTTAAGAAAGGTATGAAAGTAAACTATTCTGTGGCAATACCCTGGATTATTGTAATTGAAACATTCAGATTAATATGAACTCTGTGTTATCCTGAGAAATAAAACTGCTTCCAAGGTTCTTCCGTATACTCTTACCACTGTTTATCACAGGTTTATTAATAATTTTGGCATGTTTCTCTGTATTGTTTTTCTGAAGTTTCATGGAATGCGTGCGCGCATGTGTGCGTGCATACGTGCATGTGTGCGTGCGTGTTTGTGTGTGTGTTTGTGTTTCAAACTTACATTCATCTTTGCAAACAGAGATTTAGTATTTTTATATTTTCTCTTGGCATTTGGCTTGACTGGCTTTGTGTGGTAGTCAGCCATTTCAACAGGACATTGTGTTTCATTATGTCTCTCAGTAGATTGTTAGCTCCAAGAAGGCAGGCACTAAAGATTCTTAACTCGTTTGTGTTCCATAGGTTGATAGTATCTGCTAAGGTATATAATGACTGTTCTTTTGTTGAGTTTTCTGGAGATAGGTTTCATTCTAGCTGGTTTGGTTGGCCCTGAACTCAAGCAAACAAGTCTGCCTCTTGTGTACTGAGCTACAGTGCATAGCTAAAGAAGATCATATGAATCCTGCCCCCTCATAACAGCAAGAGATGGGTATTCATGGGCCTTTTCCAGTTCACTTTCTGCTTCTTCCAATGCACCACCTTCTTCCTGTGAGGTAGCTGAGGTATTTGACTTGATTTTTAATGAAGAAGGCAACCCCTACCTTAAGTTCCACTGCCAGTATATTTATAGAAAAAAGCAGAAAAATGCTCCATTAAGAAGGGACAGAAGAAACTCTCCCACCCTAACCATTTCCCAAACCCCATTTCAGGAAGGAAGAGTCTGTTAACATCTGGGGAGATTGTCCAACCCAGCACTTTCTCCTACTGCATTCTTTAAACTGTTTTTGCAAAGCATTTAAAAACCATACTCTGTCTGTTAGCCACAGAAGCACACTTTGTTATGTGTAGTCTCTCTTTTAATAGGCCTTAACATCATTATCAAATAAGGAGACAGAGGGAGATACTCTGTTAAAATCTTAGCAGAAGATTCATATATGTTAGGGACAGCTTCAGATATTCTCTTAGTACGCTTTCATGCCCCTCCATGAAGTCTGTTGTTGTTTTACACAATCGATAAGGATTTTCACTTTTGATGTTGCTGGGAAAAAATCATTCCCATTTCTTCTTTTGTTAAAAAAATGGTGAAAAAGTGAGCATTGTTATTTTCCCTGATGTTCTCTGTGCAGTCTTAAGGTTTCCTTCCAGTTCTTATGTTGATGGAGAAGCCTTCCCGAACATGTTTCCCTTACTTTTTAGTCTAGAGTAAGTAGTAATGTCAATGGACAGTTCATGGATGTCCTGTGGCTTATGAAACCTGCCCAAGATTGTCTATGGTTCAGCTGGGCTTTTCCAACCACCCGTTTGTAACCTGGCTCCCAATACTCGTTCACAGACAGACAGCAGGCACAGAGAGGTTTGGGTGGATGTACAGAATCACTATGCTAAAGTCATAACAGTTCCATTCCTAGGATAGGTTACCTGCAGGGGGAAGTGGCAGTAATGGCCTGCTGATAGCCTGGGAAAAAGGAGGGAAGCAGGGAAGACAAAACTGTGAATCCAAAAGCAGTGTCAGCTCAATTGCTTTGCTTATGGAAAACCCATCTGTGCAATTCTTACTGGAGGTGGAACGGTTTGGTGTAAATTCAGAGAGTCTAATTGAGTTTACTTAGTTTGCTAAATAGATTGCTTCTAAAACACATGCCCTTGTTACTCACTATCAGACTTCTAAAACAGTTATTCACATTGTGAATTGCTTTATCAATTTTTGCATGGGTGAAGAAGACAACTACAGCATAATATGGTAACATGAAAATATGTAACTTTTATGAATTGCTCCATAACTTTATTAAATATAAAAGTAAAGCTATACTGTATAGCACACTACCATAGGAAAATGTCTTTATCTTTGGCTAAGCCTTACAGATGGGAGGGGCTATGCTTGAAGAAAGGCCAGGAGTTCTTGTTGGCTTGTACAACTCTGCATTGACCCTTAAATGCCATGTGTCATTTGGTTCTCAAGTATTATACAATCAGCTCAGCTTTATCTTCTGCTTTTGGTATAGGTGCTTGCTAGATATATTGTAAGTGTTAGGGTTTAGGGACAGAAGTGCACCTTGGCGGATGGAGCCAAGAAATGCCTGAGAAAAAAATCACACCATGCAACAGATGTCACACAATAGATTTATTGGAGGGGGGTGTGTGGGACAAAGGCTACATCTAAAAGGGTACAAGAGAGATAGAGACAGAAAGACAGAGATAGAAACAGAAACAGAGACAGATGGAGATAGACAGAGACAAAGAAACAGATAAGGATGGAGAGGCAGAGAAGAGGCTGTGATGGCAGTGACTTTTTAATGGGTGTGTGTGTTGTATCTGGTGGCTGGTGATGGCATAGCGGCTGGAGGCAGGCTGGGAGAGCACCTGGTTCCTAACAATAAGGTTTTCATCTGCCTCAACCTCAGGATCAACAGTTTGTTCAATGACAAAATGTTAGTTACTCAGGTGTTAGTATTGAAGAATTATGTATATAATGTACGTTGCTGCCTTTTAATATTATGGTACTAGTATTACTGTATTTTCATTTGTGTGTTTTAAGTACTAAACTGTTAAGTATTGAAACATCAAAGAAACTACCTTCATACACATTCTAATAGTTTTAAACAAATCTTATAAAATTTGTTTTAACGTTATTAAAGTGCTCAAAATAGTTTTATAAGAAGATACTTGATTAATATGACACAACATTTGGATTAACATATTATTATTATGTGAGAAATGAAAATGCCAGCAGGACTAAATTTAGACTGAGAACACTTTTATGAGAACACACTGTCTGCTAACACACTTGGCATTCAAGGATCTCATATCATATTCAAATAGAGACTAGTGTGCACAATGAATGGACTGGTGACCTAAGGCAAGACACACAGCCAAGTTGTTTTCTGAGAGCACTCTGTTGCCCTCTAGTGGATGGCACGGCTCAGGAGACACTTCCTGCATTTGGAATTACACTACCCAGTTTGAAACTGTCTTGTCTTTTCAATGTAGCTCACAGATCAGAAGTGGGTAGTAAAGCCAGAGTTTACACATACCTGTCTGTGCTCTCTGAGTTAAAAAAAAAAAGACCAAGGACATTCTTCGCGCTTGAAAACCTTGTTTGTGTTTTTGGATTTCTCATCTTCTTTGTCACTGACTTAAAAGTTGATGGCTGATGGTGATGAGAAGTGTGGAACTTTCAGTGTGTACCTACACAACTCATGGTGTGTACTGTGTTTTGCTTGGGAAATGAGAATTAAGCCTTTTTTAATGATCCTGAATCATTATTATTTCCTGAGTCATTTTTGAGCACTTTATTAGACCTCAACAAAATTATTTGTTTTAAATCTATCATATTTTCTTAAATAATAATATAGTAACTTTGATTCTGAAAGTTTTGCATTGTTTTTATGGCCTTGAAGTTATAAACATGCCTGGAGGAGGTTTGGACAGTGCTTCAGAAAGATAGGCAAAGGCTTGCAAAGAAGGAGATACTTTGCCTTCCATGTTTTTAGATGACTTTCTGCCTGTAGAGTTATGAAATGATAGAATCTTGGATCCAAAAGTATAATATAATAATTACATGGACTAACCTTAGCACCTCTCTAAAGAGGAACTATCTGAACCAGGAAATTTTCTAGGACTCCATGCCCTGACTGATTTCTTTCCTGAGTTCAGTCTTGCATTCTTCCTTGGAATTCTGGCCACAGCTGGAGAGTGCTAAAGCTGATGTTGCAGGATGACTTCTGCCAGAGGATTTCTGTGTTCTGTTTTCTTCTTTTCTTTCCTCTCTTGTGTCAATAGTATGTCCTTCTCTTAGTCTTTAATGCTTGAATTTAGCAGTTGTTTCAACATTTTAGTTATTTATGAGCACAGTTCACTTTTTGTCTTTTCACATATATTTATTCCCCCTTTGCATTTCCAGAGATATAAATAATATAAATTAATAAAATTCTAGGATAAGATTATGATAACTGATAGGGAATGATCTTATGTCTAGTCAGCTTCTTAACTCTAAATTGTGCTTAACCCATTGCCTAAGAGATTAGATTCTGAACAAATTTAGCTCATTTCTTGGTTTTGTTTGTTTGTTTATTAGCTGTATTGCTTTCAGAAACTTAACTATTTTCTTTGTACAATAGTTTTCTCATAGGTTATTGAAGCTAAAAAGTATAAATGCAGTAATTTCATGTTATATATCATGTGGGATAACCTAGTCACAGTTAAAAGCCAAATGCTCAGGAGAGTGAACACAAC